CCCTGTCTAATTATTTTATAAAATAAAGAAAACGAAATTAGACAGGGTTAAGGATACAAACAAAAATGTTTCTCCATTTTATATCGTTTTCTTCATTTTGAGAAACATTTTTGTTTGTATCTTTAACCCTGTCTAATTATTTTAGTTTCCAGTTCAGTAAAGGGTTACTAGGTCCAAGTTTGTTATCGTATATAAATAACGTGAGGAGGTTTAACGTAGAACTGAATACGGTCCGTAAGTGTCGAACTGTAAATCTGAGAGTCTGACGAAGTTTAATTTAGAACCGAATCTAGGCCAGACGTGTTCTAGTAGTTAGCGTGTCGAACTGTAAACCCAAGAGTTCCCCAGTTCGCGTTCCGTAACCGCCAAATTGCGCTTTGCACTATGGAGCCATAAGTACATTATAATAGTGATGATCTAATCCAACTGTTCCATTAGCGTATCCCAAGAGATGGCGGTGGCGCTATTGATTATGTGCCTTTTCTCTAGTCTGTCAGTTCAAAATGAGGGACAGCTTTTGTGTAGTAACTTTGCGCAAATATACAAAACAAACAAACAGAACGTAAAAGAACTGAATATAATTGACTACAAAAATATAATACGAGAAGAATGATAATTTGTTGTTGTTTTGATGTAGAATGTTTATCCAAGCAAGCCTGGATGCATCTTCACAAGGTTTCCGCTCAATCCATGTTTGCCAATAACACGACTGTGTCGAGTAGTCAGGGGTGTAACGAGAACTGTAGAGTGTACGTGGGGGTCGGGGGGAGAACTTTTAAAAATGTGAATCTTTTTTTTTCTAAATAAAAAAATTAAATGACCTACATGAAAGTCCAGTGTTTATTAAAAATTAACTCACAAGATGTGTACATTTTATACTTTTAAAAATATTTGGATGGCCTTCGACCCCCCAGGGCTACGCTCCCGATAATAAAGTACTATTATGCTATATAAGTGTTTATAAGAAATGTACATTGTTTTTGTTTTTAAGTTCTGAGAAGTATAACCCGTGATTTGCGCGTATTTCTTCTTCCAGAGAGTACCATTCCAAAATATCACAACGCTACCCAACGGAGGATACCAGGCCAGTGGATTCATCTTTGAAATCGTTAACCACCTGGCTCACTACTTTAACTTCAGGTATAAACATATTTATGTTTACTCGTACACGCCTGAGCCCGAAAAAAATATTTGTGTTTAGCTATCAATAGGAGCGAATACTGTTTTTATATTTGAATTTATATCTGCGTTATTGTCCTCTAGAAAGAGCCCAAGTTTGTTTGTTTGTATGTAGTTAAGTACAGAGGTACAATTTCATGTGCTCGGCCACTTTCAATTGTAAAGTAATTTTCTATGTTATTTTTTTGTTGGTGCTTTTTTTTCACGTGCTGTTGGTATATTCACAAGAATGGCTCATATATAATTGTCCAGTGCATCAGGCTCGACTCGTGCCACATTCTTTATGTTCGTTTATATAAAGTAGTAATGCGCATAGTTTTGTATTTCATTCACTGACTGACAAGCGACTCATTTTCTTATTGGTTCAGATATTAATTTACGTGAAATCCGTTATTCGGTGTAACTATAATTAGTTGTAAGTTGATTGATGTGTGTGCTTCTTTTTTGCACGGAGATATAAATCTGTATTTGATGTAATTCTGTATTTGATGTAATTCAGTATTTGATGTAATTCAGTATTTGATATAATTCTGTATTTGATATAATTCTGTATCTGTTATAATTCTGTATTTGATATAATTCTGTATCTGTTATAATTCAGTATTTGATGTAATTCTGTATTTGATATAATTCTGCATTTGATGTAATTCTGTATTTGATGTAATTCTGTATTTGATTTAATTCTGTATTTGATATAATTCAGTATTTGATGTAATTCTGTATTTGATATAATTCTGTATTTGATATAATTCAGTATTTGATGTAATTCTGTATTTGATGTAATTCTGTATTTGATGTAATTCTGTATTTGATATAATTCAGTATTTGATGTAATTCTGTATTTGATACAGTTCAGTATTTGATGTAATTCTGTATTTGCCTAGAGCCCTAGACTACTTGTAAAGTCTAATATAACTCGGATGAATGAACTTCCATAATAATAATAATAAAAGGACAGGCCAAAAGAGCTACATGTATAAGAATACTGTTAGTCTCCTGAATCACGCAAAGCTGTGCACATATTAAATTAGGTAGGCCGGTAGAGCGCACTTGTGTTAAACTTAGAGTACGTATATTTTCAACAACAGACTGTGAGGTCTAGTCATTACATTAAAGAGGATCTAAAAATATGGTTCATAATTTTCTGCACAGGCGCAGTGAATTGAACATCAGATACCAATATAAAAATGAATACGTAGAAGTGAGGAAACTGGAAATATTATTGATTTTCACAAAACAGAGAAAAATAAGTGGGTTTCGAAAAAGTTTGTTTGTTTTTTAATTATGCACAAAGCTACACAAGGGCTATCTGTGCTCTGCCCACCACGGGTATCGAAACCCGGTTTGTAGCGTTGTAAATCCGCAGACATACCGCTGTGCCACTAGGGGGGGGGGGCATTTCGAAAAGAAAAGTAACATTGTAGGTAATTGCACTCCTTTTACTTCCTGCGCACTTACACCTCTAGAAACCGGGTTTCGATACCCGTGGTGGGCAGAGCACAGATAGCCCATTGTGTAGCCATAAATTCAAACAAACAAACCCTTTACTTCCTTGCTTCATTTTAAAATTTTTCGAACTTGCGCTACAGGACGAGGAGTGTTTCCACAAACTTTAGAAAAAATACGAATCCTGTTATTTGTTGAAAGTGTAATATAAGACAAAGAAAGGCACAACTTAATATCATTTGCTATTTCAGAACTTACAAGTATTCATACAGTTAATATTAACGGAGAGCGATAACAACATGTTAATTATAATGAAATGTTTCCCGTATTTTATGATACAGCTTAAACCTGATAAATCAACTTTCTTGTTATAGCTACAACATAGTGATACCCGAAGACAACTCCTTTGGGAAATTGGTAAAACACGAAAATGGAACAGAGTCGTGGAACGGAATGATGAGGTTACTTCTGGACAAAGTAAAACACGTTTTACTATCTTTATTGGTGTGGATATATTAGATATCGTGTTTTATTATCTTTATTGGTGTGGATATATTAGATAACATGTTTTATTATCTTTATTGGTGTGGATATATTAGATAGCATGTTTTATT